ACATTAATGGCAGCCCTAAGCGCTTGAAATATTGGACTTTTTTACAAGAAGGTTCTAAAGTTGACGCGTTGAGACCAATAAATCCCTGTTTTACGCGTTGGCTAACAGTCTGTCATTGTGTAACCTATCTTTTAAGCAGGTGGACAGCATTGACACAATTTTTCAAGGAACAATCTGACGATAAAAGAAATCCAATATCGGCCACAGAAATTCATGAATTGTTATGCCAACCGCAGACAAAAATCTATTACGAATTCTTGGAGTTTGCTTTAACAAAATTTAATATCACTAACGCATTACTGCAATCAGTGGCGCCGATTTCAACTAAAAGTCATAATAGAATGATACTTTTATTAATTGAAATTTTGCATTGCTTCATTAATAAGGATTATATTGACAGCCACATCGACGATTTAAGTAAAATTGATCCACAAAACGAAAAAGAATGGCTGCATTTGAATGCTTTAGATATTGGGAAGTTTGCACACGATTCTCTATTTACGATGGAATTAGTTAATGAAGAAGAAAGAAAAAATATTTTAAGCTCTTGTCGCAAATTTTTTGTAACAACGTGTTTAGAATTGCAAACGAGACTTAATTTAAATGAGAAATTTACGTCCAGTTTGGATGTATTTAATCAAGATAACGCATTATCCTGTGATTTTCATAAATTGCATCCGAATCTTAATGATATATTTGAAGTTTGTCCTGTGCCGATTCCGGAGATTGTGAAAAACAAAATTAACCATCAATGGAGCAATCTATTGAAGTATGAAATACCGGAAGATATACGTATCGAAGGAAACGTAGATGTTTTTTGGATAAAAATTTTAAGTTGTAAAGATGAAGAAAATAATATTTTATTCCAAGAATTAAGTAATTTTGCTCTTGATTGTTTTGTCTCCGTAGCGAATTCAAATGCGAGTGCAGAACGTGTATGGAGCAGTATGAATTTAATTAAAACAAACAAAAAAAATCGACTTAACTTTGAAAATCTTCGCGGACAGTTGCTATCATCAGAATTTATAAAAAGTCAAGGTGGGGTCTTACAGTTTGAACCTGATGACGAAATGCTGGAAGAATGTACTAAGGTAAAATCTAGATATCCAGCCAGTGCCAATAAGGACAAACGTAAAGCAACACTATCGGAGCATTATGGTTTTGATGATAATTATTTGAAGACATGCAAGCTAGAAAGTATTTACTATAAAAGGCCACAAAAAACGAAGTATATTGATAAGGAATCTTTAAAAAAGAAACACAAAGGTCCAATCAAAACACTTATCGAAGGTAACTTTTTTATCAATTCTAATATTTAATACCCTATTTAATAATGTTTGGAACAATATACGCGCGCGTGAATTAGCTCCCCAAGTCGAGTCAAACTTGCAGTGAATTAGGATTGCCCACGATAAATAGCTTGGTGTTAATAAATGGTTTGTGTGCATAACATTAATATACTTATTTGATCGCGCTCGTGTCAGTCAGAAATTGAATTCTTATATGCCACTTCTTCTTTGAATTATTTATGACATCGATCTTTTTCCTTGATTCGTCCTTTTTATAAACTTTTAAATTTCTGCACCGCGTATTAGACTCATTCTGCACTCATGTATTGCATTATTTATATATGTATATCTCCCGCTTTATATGTGTAGGGTGTAAATATCGCCCTTCTTATTGTTTTTGTCGAGCTTTGTCAAGCAAAAAAATTTTCGAATGCTAGCACATTTTCCCTCTCAAACGCGCTAAGTGCTCCTTCAGCAGCAGCCGAGTTAATGGCGCTTAGTATATGTTTGATAAACTCGGAGCGCTTTTTTATACTGATCGATTATGTAAAAATTATCTTTTTTGACTGTATTGATAAAACGGCGAACAAGAGAGAGAGAGACAGAAAGAGAGAGAGAGAGAGAGAGAGAGAGAGAGAGCTGAATGGAGTCGAGTGAAGAACGAAAGTTTTTTAATTTTCTTCGCGAAATTTTTTAAATTTTTGTAGATCCAAAAAAATTATCTTAGTCGAGCATTCTTTCATCATCTTTCTCAAATTATTCGAGGGTTACATTGTGGCATTTTTGGGAGAATAGTCCTTTGAGCTTTTAATTTCGTGATTGTGCGCCCCGTTGATAGTATGACATGATTAGCTTTAAAAATGTAATTTGCACCATTTTGAATGGTGCACTTTTCATCGTATGATTCGATATAATTATGCCCCTGACATAAATTAGCGATATAACAAGGCGTCCTAATGTTATTTAGTCGATTTTATTTACAAATAACGTGTATCAGATTAATTCCTCTTCATAGCTCTCTATAAAGAGTTTTTTGCTCGAATTCTATAATACGAGCGCAAAATAATTGTATATTTATATAAGTTGTAGTAATTTTTCACAGTTTTTACTCCATATATTATATTCTTGCTCACGCGCTGATTGAAATTTCAATAATGTTATCGAGAACTCGCTCAGGTTTACGTCAAGAATCAAATTATTCTTGCTGTAACCTCCACGTATTTTTACCTTAAATATGCCATAATGAGCCTTTGTGATACTTAAAACTATTGGCGTTTATTCTAATATTCATTGGAACTCTCTTTAAGTACTCAGCAATTATATCGATGTCTTCGAGTGCCACGAAGTCTCATATACTGGAGTAATTAAAGTAAAGACGCGTGGAGTGAAGAGTGCAACTATGCGTGCACGACTGTTTTACGATTTCGGGTTTTAAAGCAAAAACACACCTATTATTATAACCATACAAGATAATTTTTTACAGATCTTCTCAACCTTCCTGATAAAGACGCAGAAGTTCCTTTAGAACAGGACGTAGTGCAATCAGAGGAAGATGAACTGCTGAGGAGTATGAAAGACGCAGAAGTTCCTTTAGAACTGGACGTAATGCAATTAGGGGAAGATGAACTGCTAGAAGAGGTTTCTCAAGATGTAACTGAGTTTTTCGAAAAGAATCGTGATGATTCAATGGACGTGGATCAAAATATTTTCGATGAAAATCTTTCGATTTTGAGCCAAAAAACCAACCACGGGCAAAATAATATTGAATTATCTATTAATCAAATGTGGCCGCAAATAGATGGAGCCTTTTTTAGTGGTATGAAAAAAGTAAAAATGTATGTGATGCAATATCATTTTCAAGAAATGAACCCCCCAATTGAAACTTGTTTGGCCAAATATGAGCTTTGTGAATTGGCATATTTTGATCCCTTGAAACGCCCATGGATAATGTTGCAATCACATCAGTTGCAGTCACTGAAGTCAAATAATTATGTAAACGGGTACGTAATTGATTGTTACATGACAGCTAAAATTTGTGCGAAAGAATGGGAGAACATTTCATTTCTACCGACTTCATTTACGCAATTTATCCTTGGATCCCACCGTGATGAAATAAAAAATAAAAACTTTATTGGTTATAAAATCGAACATTTTATAGAAGGAAAATTATTCATGCCATTTTGCCTTGGAATTCACTGGATGATACTAATTGCTGACGTTGAAAAGGGAGAATTGATGGAATTAGATCCTATGTATGATCAATGCAGTTTACCTATGGCAGCAACGTATTTTATAGATTATTTAAATGATTACAATAGATTAGTCCCGAATAATGAATGGAATTTAACGAAAATCCAGTGGAAAATAGTACCAGCATTTCCAAAGCCAAGGCAATTAGATACTTACAATTGTGGACTATTTGTAATGCATTACATGAATCTGGCGGCAAACGATGATTTTTCAAAAGAAGGTATCTTTCAACCCGACGAATTTCGAATAGACGTTGCTGAGTATTTAATGCAAGAGTCTGCATTAATGAATGATGAGTGTTTGGGATGCACAAAAAACGATAATAATTATAATTATCAATGTCAAAATTGTCGTCGTTGGTTGCATGAAAGATGTGCTGCCAAAGGATATTATTGCCAAGACCGTAATTTGTGCATTCATTGCAATGGTTTGGATATTGATAATTTCCAAGTAAAAGTTGGCTTTCCAAATCCACAGGGAACTAATTCTTGTTGGCTAAATGCTAGTCTACGGTTACTTGTGAAATCACCAATATTCGATATACTAACAATGAACACGGATCACGACGATAATTTATTATCGAATATTAAAGCATTGAAAAAGTGCTTAGAATTTGAAATTTTCGGTGTATATAAAATCGAAAAAACATTGACGTAAGTATATTTTTACACGAATAAAAAACTTCAATAAATTTTATTTAACTACATTATTATTTCCAGAAATTTAAAAAAATCATTGAACGTCTTGAATGACTCTTTTGTTTCCAACCAACAACAAGATGCGTATGATTTTATTATGAACTTGTTTCATTACTTTAGTACAAACTTTGAAGCTATTTCTCCAGCATTTGAGGATTTCACTTATTGCTTGGTAGAAACGTTTCAATGTTTGTTTTGTCTAAAAGAAAAAAAAATTGAAGATACAGGATTTATTCTGGATTTGTACTTCAACGAAAATATGGGCCACGATGATCAACATTTAAATAATTTAATCAGTCAATTATTTAAAAAAAAATTATCGTCCTTAGATTGTCTGACATGCCAAAGAGAAACTTTGCATACAATGGTTAGAGCTTATTTTAAAAAATCTCAGCCATATTTATTGTTTGCTGTGTGCCGATATAGTAATGTTGGACATAAATTATTTAAACGAAATAATCGAGTGAATATGTCCGATATTATCAATTGTGATTCATTGTTTGTGTAAGTAAATATTTTATTGTTTAAGACTAATTTATATAATACTTTCAACTTAAGATTCTTATAATAATTTTTTCAGAGATAACATTGGAGAAAACAATTATTCGCTCATCGGAATAATTTGTCACGAAGGGACACATGTCCATAGTGGACATTACACTGCGTACATTTATGATTCAGCAACAAAAAATTGGATATTTTATGATGATGAATTTGTTGAAATAATCGACAATTTTCAAGAAGTTCTCGATCGTAGTTGTCATCAATCGTACTTATGTCTCTACGAATTAAATAATAATTTATAAAAATAAAGATTCTTTAATTATTTTGAAAATGCAATAATATTATTAATAATCTCCTTATATTATAAAATTATTTAATGACTTATAATTCTCATTGTGGCTCATTTCGTGTTTAACCGATGACAAAATTCAAAACTCGTACGCATCATCTCATGAGTTGGCAATACGTCTAGTTTCTTATTTTTCGACAGCTGCGCCATCTCCCTCCATGGATTTTTCACAACTCTGTCTGCGGTTCCTCCAATTTTGTAAGGCCCGTATCGATACATTCTGCGCAAACTTTGTAATTTTCGATCTCTTATCATATAGTCAGTCGCCATTCGTCACTGTAGACGTTTAGATTTTGAATGGTTCGAAAAAGTGATTAAACGTTCATAGTCTTTTATTTATTTAAATCCATTCAAAGATTCCTATACAATTTTTTTCTTATACTAGTATAACACAATCCATAAAATAGTACTGATAAAAATATGAAAAATTCATTACCTCAATAGCACCTCGCCATTTATCCGCAGCGTGTCTTGCCAGTTCATTTTTTTTTTGTTTTTGAATTTGATGTTTTTTGTAAGCCATTTCAATCACAATAAGAAGAATACCACCAATAATCCCAGCTCCTACTAAAATAAACACACCAGCCATATTTTTTAGACCTAAAGTATTTGGTGTTTTTTCAAATTGTTCGCACTGTTGAGGATTCCCTTGTAATATCCAATAATTATCTAAACTTTCCATAAAACCACCTACGAAATAGTGAATTTTGATAAATGGAAAGCATTGTATTTAAGCTATTATAATTATTTTTCATTAAACTTAACTACTCGTTTGCAAAAAATTGCTTGGATATGCGCATGGATTATCTACGAGGATAAGAAATTGATATTTAGTAGATCGGACAACGGGTATCTATGTATTATCCACGCGGATCATAAATGATTTTTAAAAAATTTAAACTCGGTGGATTTTAACTTCTCTACGTGGATTATTGTATAATCCACGATGATTTTCCGAGAAAACTTCCGAGATCTTGGAGTTGTTTCGCGAGCTGGCTCGAAATATCCGCGATGCTTTGTCGGCGTATCGTCGTGGATTTTAACTTCTCCACATGGATTATTGAATAACCCATATAGTCCAGTCCAGTTAGATCTGACTCTATGTTAAACGTGAAAAAATTCGCAACCGGCGTTTCTCACCGGGATTCGTTAGGGTTCGATGGTACGAATGAAGTAATAACAAATTCCACAGTTGAGTCGATTGGAATTTCAACAATAGGGCCCTTTAAAATTAGGAAAATTGGTTTTTCGGCTACAGATTGAAAACCGTACATTTTATAAAAAAAAGTTTCAAGCTAAAGTTGTAGGTCCTTGCAAGACCTTCAATTTGATATAAATAACATTGGAAATTGGTTCATTTGATTATCGAAAACGCCTCAATTGTCAATAACAACAAAAGGGACTTACAGACATCGCAAGAATATCTAAGTGGGCTAAAATCAAAGATAATTACTTCTTATTTTGTAATCTATGATAAAAATATGTTATTTTACAAAAGTATAAGTAGTTATCTTTGATTTGAGCCCATTTAGATATTCTTGCGATGTCTGTAAGTCCCTTTTGTTGTTATTGACCATTGAGGCGTTTTCGATAATCAAATGAACCGATTTCCAATGTTATATATGTCAAATTGTAGGTCTTGCAAGGACCTACAACTTTTGCTTGAAACTTTTTTTTATAAAATGTACGGTTTTCAATCTGTAGCCGAAAAACCAATTTTCCTAATTTTAAAGGGCCCAATTGTTGAAATTCCAATCGACTCAACTGTGGCATTTGTTATTACTTCATTCGTACCATCGAACCCTAACGAATCCCGGTGAGAAACGCCGGTTGCGAATTTTTTCACTTTCAAAACTAATTTGACTGGACTAATAATGGTTTTTAGAGAAATCTTCCAAGAAATCGTTCAACTTTGATTGAGTATCAGCAACCCTCAAAATAGGAGTTTGATTTTTTTTCGTATCGTAATATTGAACTCTCTAAGTTTGACCTTCAAATGACCTTGATAGTGAGGTTGTAGAGGTCATGTGACTTCAGATTTGAATTCAGCATCCTCAAAAACTTATGTATGAGTATTTTCAGATTTTTTAACCTTTTTTCATTATCTAAAAAGACCTTCAAATGACCTTTATATAGCTGGATACAATCAAAATTACCTCTGATTCAGATTCAGCGACCCTCAAAACATAATTATGATTTTTTTCGGATATTTATATTGTATTCTCTTAGTTTGACCTTCAAATGACCTTGAAGGTGATCTCCTGAAGGTCATCCGACCTCGGATTTGGATTCAGCATCCTCGAAAACCTATGTATGAATTTTTTCAGATTTTTTACCACTTTCCCTTTATTTGACCTTCAAATGACCTCTAAAATGAGCTAACCTTGAAAAACTGACCCCGGATTCGGATTCCGCGACCCCTAAAACATAAAGTCCACCTGGTCCGGTCGGTGGACTCGAAAATTTTTTTTTTGTGGCTGTGTAATCCATGCGGGACATACGTGCAATTTTTTCAACTAATTTTTTTATGTGGAGTATTTTTATATTGCTAGATAACTTACTTTCGTGAAAATCAAGTATTGCTAAAGTTACAGCATCAGCCCAAGGGGATTTCTTTTGCATACCAATTCCATATCCAGATCTCCCAAAAAGTTCTCCTGCAGTAACCAATTCACAATCTTGGGCTGCCTCAAACTCTAATCGAGAGCTATCCCATATAAATGCCATTAACTTCCTATATAAAATAATATAAAATATTATCAATAGATAAATTTTAGTGATATATTTCAACTAAATCGAAGCAAGGTGTCATTTTTTATGTCAGAAATATCATCATATTTCATTAGAACCTAAGCTTTTGTAATTCAGCTGTAGCCTAAGGTATCCATAATATAGGGTTCTATTAAATTTAAACTTATAATATTATTATTTATAATTCTCGATTTTTATATGAAATTAACCACAATGTTAACGGGTTCAGTGAAAATAAGTGTCAGCTTAAAAATTTACAATTTTTCTTTTTTATTGATACATTATTATTCACTTAGCAACGGCTGTAATTTTCAGATTCAAGCGTTTTCGAGATTTCATACTAGGAAAGTGAAATAATCTTGCGAACCTATAACAGGTGCAATTTATTATGGAATCACGAAATAAAATATCACAAACAGCAGAAAATAGATTTCGATGCTGGGCGTATTACTTGTCTAGATTCCGACATCTCATAGAATAGATAAGCTCTCCAGCTAACGCAAACTGCGACGCCTTATCACGTCTACTCGTTCAGGCCAACATATACATACACAATCTAGACCCAGACTTTTTGAGGCTTTATTTTTTCTCGACCAAGGTATCTTTACCTTCGACGGTAAGATGTTGGCTCGAGTAAGTATAAAAGACAAGGCAATTTGCACTGTCATTTCTTTCACTAAAATCGATTGTATAAATCTGAGTGAACTCTCAGAAGAATTCAAGCTGTATCACAGGAAAAATCCTGAACTCTCGGTAGACGAAAACTGTCTATTTTGAGGTCTACACGCAAGTATTCCAATTAGCATGAGACAATCGGTATTGCGCGAGCTCCATGGGTCACACTTGAGAGTCGTCAAGTTTAAAATGTTCACCGATCCTACATGTGGTGACCAGTGATCGATCACGATATCGAATTTACCGTGTGAAACTTCAGTACGTGCAATGTCAATGCGAAAAATCCACCGAAAACGTCGTTAACCATTCGGCTGTGGTCTAACCACGCACGGAGTGTGTGTAGATTTTTTGGAACCCTTTTACGGAAGTATTTATCTCGTAGTGATATGTGCTCATTCGAAGTGTTTAGAAAAAAAAAAAACAAATTGAAAATTTAAAAAATTTAAAAAAATCAACTGTTTATGAACATCTGCAAGATGTGAAACATCTTTATCAATTAATTAAAGAAAATTGAAGAATTTAAATGTAATCGAAACAGTAAAAGTTGAAACAACAAAATAAGTAAAAAACAAGTAAAAAAAATCAAATTGAAAATTAAAACAAGCATCGATGTTTCACATCTGGTGCGCTAATGCTCGAGAAACTACGAGAGGGAACGACTTGAAGAGTAAGCACGCATTGATTATGCACCAGATATGAAACATCGATGCTTGTTTCAATTTTCAATTTGATTTTTTTTACTTGTTTTTTACTTATTTTGTTGTTTCAACTTTTACTGTTTCGATTACATTTAAATTCTTCAATTTTCTTTAATTAATTGATAAAGATGTTTCACATCTTACAGCTGTTCATAAACAGCTGATTTTTTTTAATTATTTCAATTTTCAATTTGTTTTATTAATCAAATTAGTGCATTGAGCGATTATCGTTCGTTGTATGTTAATATAACATGATAAAAATGTCGACTTTCCTTAAGAAGACACACTCATAGACACGTATACATTAGGGTGGTCCACTTTTTCAAAAATTTTTTGTATCTCGGGGGATCCATCGGAATCAGAAAGTTTGAGGTTCAAAATGAATTTTCCCGTAAACTAGAAATCAAAAAAATGATTTTAGATGGTGTCGATGGATTTTTGAAGTTTAAAAACGAGCTCCAAAAAAGAAGCAAAATCGGGCTATCATTCGATTTATTTCAAACTCTGTTTAGAGTGTAAAAGTAATCTTGACAATACATTTACTTATTTGTTTTTGTCTGCAGAATTGAATGCTGTAGTCAGTTTTGACTTAGGAGCACAATTTCATTCAAAAAATACACTTTTTCGATCGTTCTCTTTCGCAAATTCCGCAAAGTTCATTTTCGAGCGAGTGGCAAATGAACAGAAAAAAAGAAAAGAGAAGAAAATTTTTTGACACCACCAAAATGTAGGATTTTTCATGACAAATTAAATGGTATAAATTAGTATACACTTTGAAATTATTTTAATGCAGAAAAATACAACTTTATCCTTTATTTACATTTTGGTGGTGTCAAAAAATTTTCTAGATTTTTTCTGTTCATTTGCCACTCGCTCGAAAATGAACTTTGCGGAATTTGCGAAAGAGAACGATCGAAAAAGTGTATTTTTTGAATGAAATTGTGCTCCTAAGTCAAAACTGACTACAGCATTCAATTCCGCAGACAAAAACAAATAAGAAAATGTATTGTCAAGATTACTTTTACACTCTAAACAGAGTTTGAAATAAATCGAATGATAGCCCGATTTTGCTTCTTTTTTGGAGCTCGTTTTTAAACTTCAAAAATCCATCGACACCATCTAAAATCATTTTTTTGATTTCTAGTTTACGGGAAAATTCATTTTAAACCTCAAACTTTCTGATTCCGATGAATCCCCCGAGATACAAAAAATTTTTGAAAAAGTGGACCACCCTAGTATACATACATGCATTGATTAATATCAGATTTGAAAACATGCATGATAGATCGTGTACGCATAAACAGCACATACGTATTCTGTGTATTATCCTACGCATAAGCAAGAGAGAGAAAGATATCGCAACGCAGTCAATTCTGTGAGCTAAGCTGATTGCTGTTGCTTATACTGTTACGTTGCCTCGTTCGTATACGTAAACACAGTCATACGAGCGTGCAAGAGCGAGAGAGAAAGAGATACGCGCGTCGAGTCTCGGCAGCGGGCAGCAGCAGAAAGCAGTTTTGTAGCTAGCGCGGCAGCCAATCACAGCGCGTAGCGCAAACCGACGCTGTATAGGCAGTTCTACTACCAAAGTTGCGCTCGCTCGGACGGACGGACGGACGCTCGGTTTTTACGGGTTTACCCCTGACACCAAACGCGAATATAGATGTTTCACATCAATAAATTTTAAAAACAACATCAACAAAATCAACAATATCACAAACAACATTACAAAACCAAATAATTAAGCCCTCGGAATCAATTGTAGAACTTCGGTGGGGACTCTATAGAGCTTCTCTGCTACATCTGTGTCTTTTCCGTAGATCCCCCGTCCACCTTGCGGTGATTAGGGGTTCGGGAACCAGAAGCGTCGTTTTCGTCTTTTTCCTACAGCATCGTCCGGATTGTTTTATTTACACCTCTTGCGCTTCTTGTCTCAGTGTCGTGACGACTGATTGCGCAAAGGACGCTACCGCCAGCCAATTGCCCGCGTTCTCGAGCATGAGCCGGACGATGTATTCCGGCTCGATTTCTTCTTGGAGGACTTGTTGAAGTCTCTCCCTCTCTTCGTGAAATCGCGGACAGTGGAAGAACACATGCTCCGCGTCTTCTGTTGTGGTGGGTCAGGCCGGGCAGAGTGCTCTAAGGGTGTTGTCATAGCGCTGGCTATGGCTTTTGAAGTAGCCATGCCCGGACAGGAGTTGTATGAGATGGTAGTTCACTTCTCCATGTCCCCTCTCTACCCATTCTGCGATGTTCAGAATCAGCCGGTGTGTCCATCGGCCTCTTGGGGCCCGATCCCATCGGTCCTGCCACCTTCTCAGCGTCTCTCTTCTTTCTTCTTCCTTGACGTCCTCCGGACGGCGCTGGTATACGCGCGCACGCTCGTCCGCCAGTAGGGTCAGCGGAGGTACGCCGGCTAACACGTACGTTGCGTCGTATGAAACGTGTGGTCGATCGCTGATCACGCGCAGGCAAGCTCGTCGATGTACGGCCTCCGCTTGACGGATGTGGGCCTGCTTCTGCGTTGCACATCTCCAGATGAGCGCTCCATACAGGAGGATCGAGTCGACGACGTGAGCGTAGAGTTCTCGTCGGCTACTTCTGGGCCCACCAGTGTTGGGCATGATCTTCGCGAGGGCTCCAGCCACTCTTGCTGCCTTTTCGCTGACGGTTCGGAGGTGTTGATCGAACCTCAGCCTGGAGTCAATGTGTAGGCCCAGATAGCGGATGCAGGGGGACGACCTTATGCTGCAGTCGCCTACTGTGATAGTGATGGTTTCCGTTTTTTTCCTACTAGTGATTAGTAGGGCCTCGGTCTTGTGGTCAGCCGTTACAAGGCTGAGTTCGTGAAGCGTGCCGCGCACCTGCTCGATGGCAGCGTCCAGATCGTACTCGATCTGCCACAGTTGCTTAGCAACGGCCACCAAGGCGATGTCGTCTGAGAAGCCGACGATCCTTACGTTGCCTCTGAAATTGAGGCGCAGTACGGCGTCGTACATGACGTTCCACAGGATGGGCCACAGGACAGATCCTTGCGGAACGCCTGCTGTGACTCTGTAGGACCCTGGCCCGTCGTCCGTGTCGTAATCGAGGACTCTCGCTGAGAGGTAGCTGCTGATTATTCTCAGCAGGTACTCAGGCGAGCACATCCGGTGCAGCGCGGCGTGGATGCTGTTCCATCGCGCCGAGTTGAACGCGTTCTTCACGTCGAGGGTCACGACGGCGCAGTATTTTTTGGTGCCGCGGTTCCATCTCTTGCCTGCGATAGCCTCTCGAGCAGTAGCGATGACGCTCTCGATGGCGTTGATCGTCGATCGCCCTTTTCGAAAGCCGTACTGGTGGTCTGAGAGGCCCCCGGGGCTCTCAGTAATGGCTTCGAGGCGGTCACAGATGATTCTTTCCAGGATCTTGCCCGCTGTGTCAAGCATGCAGAGCGGCCTGTACGACGATGGTTCATCGGGGGGCTTGCCTGGCTTTGGCAGCAGGACTAGCCTCTGTCGTTTCCAGCACGCGGGAAAGACGCCGGTACGCAGGCATGCCGTGTACACCTGCAAGAAGGTGTCAGGGTGCTCGGCAATGGCGGTCCTGATAACGGCGTTTGGTACACCGTCCGGCCCGAGCGCAGTGTGGTCCTTGATCCTCTTGTATGCTCTTCGGAGTTCTTCTAAGGTGACGGCCGGCACAATTGCTCCTGCCTGGAGTGGTGGTGGGAGAGCCGGTTCGTCGGGCACGCAAGGGAAGAGGGCAGCCACTATGCGGCGCACCAGGGACGGAGAGCTCGGAGAATTTACTCTCGGGCCTCTGAGACGGGACATAACCGTCTTGTACGGTTTGCCCCACACGTCCTCGTTGACCTCGTCGCACAGTTTGTTCTAGCACAGGCGCTTGCTGGTCTTGATAGCAGCGCGCAGGAGACGTCTTGCGGAGGCGTAGCTCGCTCGGCAGGCGTCTTCATTTGGCTGACCGTGCACTCTCTGGGCAAGCCTTCACGCTCGCAGACATGCACGCTGAAGGTCGGCGATCTCGCTTGTCTACCAGTACACCGCGCCACGGCGACGTCGTCCGCCTCTTTTAGTCATAGACGCGTCGCATGCACTGGTAATGGCAGCCATGAGGCTCGTAGCCATCTCTTCTGCGGGCCCGGGAGGAACCGCGGTCCCAGCCATCATGACCGAGAGACACTCTGTGTCGAGAGTGCGGGCATTCCACTTGCAACTTTGGCGCGTCGAAGGCCTAGGCGGTCTTTATCTCGAACACGATGGCCTGGTGATCGCTGTGCGTGTAGAGCTCGCTTACAGCCCATGATGTAATTTAGGGAGCGAGTGTGTCGCTGGCGAAGGTGAGATCGATGACCGAGTAGCCCATTGGACCGGAGAATGTTGGTGTGTCTCCGGTATTCAGAAGTACGACTTCCAGGGTGGCAAACGCATCAAGGAGAGCGGTGGCGCACTGTCTCATCGCACGGCATCCCCACTCCGTTGACCAGGCGTTGAAATCACCCTCGACGATGAGCGGCCTCTTGTCCCAGGCTTCCTCGATGATTTTGGTGAGGAGAGCAGAGAAATCCGCATCAACGAGTCTTGGTGGCGCGAAGACGCTGAAAAAATAGATTCCGTTGATTCGGGCCCAGGTGAAAAAAGGACGCGCTCTTGATGGGCGCTCCTGCACCAGGCATCCTTCGTGCGCCCAGATCGCGGCTTGGCTGTTGGCATCAGTAAGCCAGTAGGGTGGATCAAGGTTCTTGTACTGGTCACACACTACAGCCACCTTGATGCGTTGATCGAGAATGGTTTGGCTCAGGAGATCCTGGGCCGCCCTGCAGTGATTGAGGTTTAGCTGTAAGATCCTCATCATCGGCGGACTTGATTGGACGTCTGCGCGAGAGGGCAGTACTGGCTTGTGGACGCATGGTCGTGGACAGCTCCTTGCTCCTGACAAAATACGCCCGTTGGATTGTTCTTACAGTCCTTTATTTGATGGCCTGTTTGTCCGCAGCGGAAGCAGTGAGCCGAGCGATCAGGTCCCTTACAGCGGGACGAGACGTGGCCGGGGCTCCAGCATCGGTAACAGCGCAGGGCATCCTCGCGACCACGGATGCGGCAGTTGACCCAGCCAATCTGTATGTGGCCGAGTTTCAGCGCCCTGGCGGCCAGATCATCCGGCAGCGCTGCGACAGCCGTCTGCGTACCCGCGTACGCTTTCCGCAGCGTCTTGACTACTTCTTCATTGAGGTATGGTGCGCCCAGCGATTTGGCCAGCTCTTCGGTGATTTCCGTCTTGGTGGCACACTCGTCGAGGTCCCTAATGTCGATCGCTATAGTGTACTGTATGGCGCTGGCATTCGCAACGTCACTGAGAACTCTGCCCACCTCCGCGCCGAGGGAGGGTGCATTGTCCACGCCTTTTCGTAGTTGTAGCACCAGCAGCACTGCGTCCGATATTTTTGACGCTGCTTCCGACTGTCCCCTGCAACGTCAGCTCCGATTTGAGTGTTTTTAGGATGCCAGCGTACGTAGATGCATCCTTCGCTCTGATGACTATTGCATCTGATCGATGATGAACCCTACGAGGCGCTGGCCACGGTTTCGGCTGCTGCCGGGTGCGGGTAGGATCATCTGCTGCTGCCGGCTGCTTTCGCTGACGCCGACGTCCATGGTCGACGAGGGAAAATCCGTCTTGATCGTCACACCGATAGTACTAAGCGCGGGAAACACTTCTGTCACTCGCAACCTAAAACCTGCTACAGCTGCACACACACACAGCGGCGGGGCTGCACACACACATTCATAGACGCGGCATGTCGCTGTGAACGCGCAGCACTTACACGAGCACTTTGATTACACGAGCAGAACACGTCTTGTCTGCTTCGCTCGTCAGACTCGAATCCCAAGCCGTATCCCTTAAGGCAGGCGTGAAAGCACTCATCGCCAGTGTACGCTCCGTGCTGCTCGAAATTAGCAACAAAGTTGCGTGTTTAGGGTATAGAATAGGAAAAAAGAATAGTTTCAAATTTCAAACTCAATTCAGGCTGCACGATTAACAGATTAAATCTGATAATAGAATTAAATTGGTATAACGTCAGCAGAGCGGGAATGACGCTATTATCTACGAATTTGCGGTGTACACATTGATGGAGTGAATAGCATCGATTTTAACGTGTGCTCTTAAGAAAAGTACTTTTAAATATGCCAGTGGTGGTCATCGAATTAAAATTCTCGCCTTAAAAAAATTTTTTTTTTTTTTTTTTTTATATATCCAGGTTTTATTTGCAATCTGTTAAGTATAACAATAAGCGAATATTTGTGACATATGGTTAAGCGCAGACGGGGTACAGAGAATAGACCAGTGTCCATTCATCACGTTGATTTACTTAAGCTCATTATTTACAATGTTAGTAAAGAATAAAGCAAAAACAATAGAGAGAAAAACGAATCATTGAGGTATTTTGCGTTTCTTGAGTCTTGAAGCTGTTGGTTGTAGTGGAAGTTCCAAGGCCAACGGGTTAGTATGTTTAGTAAGTCTGATTTTGTACTTGGAAAAGAAAAGCAGTATTTCCTCACGTACTGATGGGATTTTTAGATCGGCGCGAATAATTTCATTTGGCACGAACCACGGGGCGTCCACGATACTGCGTAAGACTTTGGATTGGTAGCGTTCAATAACAGCCAGATTTGAGTTTGCTGCAGCCCCCCACAGCTGAATTCCATAGGTCCACACAGGCTTCAGGATAGCTTTGTACAACAACACCTTACTATCTAGAGTCAGTGCCGACTTTCTACCGAGCAGCCAATAGAATTTTCTAAGCTTGAGGCCGAGCTGTTTGCGTTTTGTCCATATATGTGATCTCCATGTGAGTCGGCGATCCAAAATCATCCCTAAGTATTTGACCTGATCAGATTGGGGGATGTAATTTCCATATAAGCTAACCTGTGGGCATGTGTCTTTTCTTAAAGTGAACGTAATATGGGAAGATTTATTTCCGTTGACCTTGATTCTCCAGTTTTGAAGCCAGACTTGTAGTGTATCAAGGAAGTTTTGAATGAGATGCGAAGCTGTGGGAGCATTTGCATTGGAGGCAAGTACTGCAGTATCGTCAGCGTAAGGGGCCAACATTATTTCAGGTGATGTTGGTAGATCGGCTGTATAGAGCAAATACAAAGTGGGACCAAGAACGCTACCCTGAGGTACGCCAGCTTGGATATGAAAGAGCTCCTTGATTACAGAGTTGTTTTTGACTCGGAAGGTTCTATTTTGCAGATATGAGCTTAGCAATTGGTACATTTTTGTAGGAAAGCTGTTCTTGATTTTGTAGAGTAGTCCCTCGTGCCAGACTCTGTCGAAGGCCTGAGCAACGTCTAGAAACACTGCTGAGACAAAGAGCTTCTTTTCGAAAGCTTGCTGGACTTTTGCAGCGATTCTATTGACTTGTTCAATCGTTGAGTGCCAACTTCTGAATCCGAATTGATGGTGTGGGATAAGGCCTTTGGTGGATATTATTACATTCATTCTTGATAGGATTATTCTTTCAGCAATTTTTAGTCTTAAAAAATAACATAGCTTATTTTTAGCCTTAAAAAATAACATATAAAATGCTTATAAACTGGGAGCGCCACGGGTTACGCACAGGGCCAATAGAGTGATCGTTACAATTGAAGAACTAATAATAATTACGCGATATAGTACAACATCTAGACATCTAGAGAGTTGCAATTAGTTACGCGCCGTAGTCGTTGCGTTAGTTACTTAAATTAGTAATTCAAGTATATATAATTAAAATTTTCAAAAATACTTACCCAATTTTCACATCATTGATAGCTTCTTCAGCTGTTTTGTAATTGTTTGCTTCCATCGTACGATACATGTTAGATAACTCAACTTGCCTACGAAAATACATGTCAACTGCTGAACCTTTGACAGTTGCACATGTCAAATTTTCCATTGTGTTTCTGAGCTGTAAGAAGAATAAGAAATTCGATATATTTTGAACTTTTCTTTCGATACGCCAGCTCTTCCAAAATTTTCCCAAATTGTTTTTATGGTGTGTCAAATCTCATCAATGATCACAAGACGAGTTTTTTTTATTATTTTCAAAAATAATTGTTTCAAGCAAAATACTGTTCAATCATCTTTAAACAGCCTCTAATTTAGATGCAATACTCAAAATAAATTGTAATTAAATGGTAAAAAATTGGAATTGTTCAGAATTCAGTCAAGAGAAAGTTCAAAATGTTCAGAATTATCTTAAGAGAAGTTAAATATTAATTTGATTCTTGCTAAAACGAGTCATTTTGAATGAGTCAATTTAGATTACCGAATAGTATATTACTGCCCAGCTAGGCCGCGAAAAACAGAAAAGTCCCCGGGCACGTGTAATTAGTGTCCGAGGCGACGCCGAGGCTGAAAAATACATTCCTGGGGCTTTCTTTTTTCGCGACTTAGGACTGTATACTATTTTTCATACCCCGTAGCCCGAAAATAGCTTTTCCTGTTTTGCGCAACGACCCGGAAATAGTCACTTTTGGGATACTGGTATGAAAAACAAGTTATAGTTGCTAATAAACAAGAGTTCCTTGATTATTTCGTAATAAATCAAATTATCAATTAATTCATTTTTCTATAAAAATAACAAAAACAATATATTTTTGGAGTAGCAATATAATGCAGTAATATTTATAGAAATCATAAAATATTATAGCTAATTATATTTTTCTCACCCTAGCATCATTAATCCCCGAGAGCTTCGTTTTAGGACGCTCCAACACTAAAAATGCTGCCAAATTAGCAGTATAAGATGCAACGATAATCATTGCAAAACCGGCCCACACCATCCCTAAGACTCGTGCTGAAAAGCTTCTTGGTGTACCTGTAAAATATGAGTTTCAAAGTATATTTTTACTACAGTATATTTGTTATAATTATTATAATTGAAACTTAATATAAACAATTTTTTTCTATAATATATAAATGTTTTAAAGTCTTTGAAGCTACACTAATGAACCTATGGTTATGTATTAAATGGAAATAAGAGGAGGAAGGCAAACAAAAGTGAAACTGGCGGATTAAATGAAATAAGTAAGATAGATTATTATTAACAATAATAGTGGGTTACAGCCGTGCTCAAGACGGCGAATAGGTGCAGTATCACGGTACGCGCGAGTGTTCGCTTAAGGTGGCTAGTCAGTAAAATGGGTCGACAACAGATGTTTATGAAACTTTGCAGAAATATCATTTAAAGAGCCCTTGATATGCTGTAGAAATTTCAGCATGGGTTATCGAACTAATTTTTGAAAACGAAGCCGTTGAAAACTGCAAATTTAACATGGGCTCTTATGGGAGGCCACCATAATTTCGTACATTTTACGCCATAACTTTTTTATTAAACAACAGATCTTAACCAAAAACGAGTATGTTATACTTAAAGTCGCTACCTTTTGATTGGTATGTTAAAATCTACCCCTTATCAAACTGTAATTAAACAAAATTTGAGTAGATTATCGGTCGTTAATTTTCAAGCAGTTGACAACACTGGAACCTCCGCTTGGTGCCACTCGCGCGCATATTCAAAAGTAACTGTAAGGTATACGCCCCTATTTTCGATCAGTTAGGCCCTAATTTCGATCAAATTTAAATCAATTATTTGTATAGAATTTAAACTTGACATCTGATTTTGAATAATGTATTTCTGTTGAAGATATTCATTCAGCCAATTATTTAAAAAAATTTTCTTACGTACAATTAAGTTGTGAATATTAATTATTGATCGAATATAGGGACGTATACCTTATATGTTTATAAAAACTTGTCAAAATGTAAGCTCTGTATAGGTTAGTTCAGCAAATGCGACGACGGTCGACCGTCGTTTTCGCCATCGCCGTGCCACCTCACGGCGCAGTCGCAAACTACGAAATGTTCCAACTGCATAACACGAAAAAGTGAATGTAAAAAGTCACATACTGTACACTAAAAATTCACTCTTATTATTTGCACTCCTTACCTTACCGCAGATTTGCTTAACCATATATAAAGGTTTATGTTGTTGACTCTTTAATGCAGGGAACACTACATTAATTTTGAATTGTTTCATTCAATTTGAACAAAATTATCATTAAGGGTGTGCGAGTACTTGAAAAAAACTCGACTCGATCGAGTACTCGAATATCCCTAGTAACCCTACAAATATTTTTAATTAAACACAGCCCCGGAAATCCGAGAAAAAATCTTATCTAAACAATAATAAAAAAAATATTTTTTCGGATTTAAGGTTTTTTTCTCTTCTTAATTTAAATAAACATAAATTTTACCTTCGCCGATTCCGCTATTCAAAAGAACTCCCCACGCAAACCATATAGCACTAGATAAATTTAGAGCATCTTCTTCTGTATTATCAGAATTAGTCATTCGAAATCTTCCAAAAGGAGAAAACCTATCGAGTAAGTATAAAACCAATGCGACTACATGGACTGATACCATTACTAAAATCCATAATGTGTTGCTGAAAGGTTGTAGAAATGAGACCAATGTTGATGATCTTGAGGGCTGTAAAATAATTTATTTTTTTCATTTATATTTTCAATGGCTTTATTTTTACATTTCATTATTCAAAAATGGAAAATCCAGATATGAGTAAATTTCGTGAAATTTTAATATTTTGCTACAAAAGAAATTTTTTTTTTAGAGCACACTTGTGAAACTTTTTTGGGGACTTGTAAGTGATTCAGAAACCTGAAAAAATAGTGCCCATCAAATTCGGATGAGGGCTTTTGGAGATTTAAAAAAGTGCATTGTGCCATTTAAAGTAAAACTGTTGATGTGCAACGTGAAATTCAATTAAAATGCACTCAAAATCAACAATGGGCGCGAGCAAAACTTATGTTTATATCGTATATAACTTTTTTTACAAAGCACGCACACTAAAAAAAGGCATAACGCTCGATTCTGCAACTCAAAAACTATTTTTCCCCATAATTTGGTGATGATTCATGGTGGGGCCTATTGGGATATTAGGATTTCATAAAAAAATAGTTAAAATACTGAAAATCGAGTTGAATTTTTTTTAACAGTATAGACGGCTCGGGTAACGATGCACATCATTCAGTGACATTTTTTTCGAAAATACAGTTTCTGAAGATTGTTTGGTGATTTGGATGAAAAAACTCGATGGGTCTATCGGTAACCAGAATTTGAAAATTAAAAATACGATACGTTGAATTTCAAAACGCATAAAAAACGCCATGAAATGCATGATTTTTGTATGAATTCGTGTTTGGATCCCACTAGAAGTTGTTCTTGAGAAAAGAAGAAGTTTAAAATTTATCATAAAGAATGCTAGGAATGATAATTTTTAAGTTTTCACACGAATATTGTGGAGTTGACACAAATATTAAAATTGTACGAGATTTACTCATATATAGTTGCTCGAGAAATATTCGAACAATTATGAGCGCGCGGCTTGTACACACGCATGTTCACGTACTGTGCAAGCCTGCGAGAGATGGCGTCGCATCTTGGCACGTGCTGATGGCTACTCTTTAATAAAGGACTTCCGCAAGGAAGCGTATTAAGCCCCACTTTGTATGAAATTTTCACTAGGCAGAATGACAAATATGTCACGTCACCCTTATTTTATTATAAACAATTATAATATTCATAAAAATAATGTATCGTAAAATAACAGTAAACATGAAAGTTCGCTCTGTGAGCGGACGCGCCAACTAAGTGAAAAACAAAACCATAAAAATTGGTGAAAACATCGAGTTCTACGAAAAGAACATCGAAATCAAAACCTCTAAAAGGGTGTGAAATGGACACGCCATACAGCGCATTGATTAAAATTGAGGCTATGTCAGTTTAGCAGGAAGATCAAAGAACTCGTAGAAAAATTAGAAAAAGCCGTCGTCAGGTTCTCACGGACGAGCAGGTGCTGACAGGTCTCTCATTTTTATGCAAAATATCATAGTATATATTGAGGACCCGCGGCGGCCTCTGTGCAGAGCTCACGTCACTTTGTACCGCGATTTTATATTATTCAGACTTATATTAAATTGTGCCACGAGTCCAATGCGGAATGTAATTTGTAATCGAGACTAGTGAAGCTAGTGCAGTGCAGCCAACCAGGAATGCCAGTCAACCAGTTGCAGAGTGAGCCACGATCTACACCGAGAATCGTCCACCAGGCTTATGTATATTATTTTTAATTAGTTGAGTAAGCCTAGGTGTAAGTTAAACTTTTGTATTTGAATGGATGAATGAAATTGCATTGTAATTAAGTATAACAAATAATAACGACCACTCCACATAGAATACCCACATCATATATACTTTCCCTCGTTGTCACCAGCCAGAATAAATCAATATATATTATTAATAATAAAGCGGCCCTCCAGCCGTAACAAATAAATAAATAATAATGTTAAAATTTTACAATTCGCTGACGACACAGTCATTTATAAGACAGGTAAGAGGCATTTGTCTCTTGAGATGACAGGTAAGAGGCATTTGTCTCTTGAGAAGACAGGTAAGAACCACTTTTTCTTTGGTTCTCTGTTTGTTCAACACTATCAATCATTTCTTTTTTAATTTTTTTGGCTGTTGGCCCATCGATTACTGAGAATTCTTTTTCAAGACTATGGTTTGTTGTGAACTTATGTTTTTTAATTTCTTGTTTGTCTGTCGCTTTTGATCTTGAAAAATTTTCAGCTGCTTCTATATCAGCCTTTTTTAATTGTTCAACATTCTTGGAAACATTAGTCTTTTTATTTTTACTCTCTTAGTTTTGTTTTTTTGTAGATTCTCGTTTGCTTTTCTTTACTTTTCTTTTAATTTTTTCGGGAGATGGCCCTTTAATAATGTGGTTTGTTGTAAACTTATGTTTTATGGTTTCTTTTTTACATGTCATTTTTGATCTTGAAACGTCTACAGCTTCTTCTATAATGAAAACTGCTGAACTTGAAATATTTTCAGCTTTATCTAGATCTGACACTTCTAATCTTAAAACATTTTCATCTTCTTCCATATCTGTCTCATCTGATTAAGTGTCTCTCTTTTTATTTTCATCTTCTTGTTTTTATTGCTTTATAGTTTCTTGCTTGCTTTTCTTATATTATGATCTTTTATTTTTTTGCAAAATATTGGCCTCCAACTTTTTCTGTTTATTAATTTCTCTAAGTTTTTTCCTTTCCGTCCGTATGTATGTATGTTTTTTTTTTTTTTCTACTCCACCCCATTCGGACACTCACCAGTATCCGCCGTTAGGCATTGCTTCGGTGAGGCCGGGGTTAGTTGAGCATTTCTGCTACTCCTGTTAGTCGTTGTTTTTCCATACATCCCCCATCCGTCGCATATTGATATGCGACGATTAGGGGTTCAGGGACTCATCTTTATCTACTTGGTGAACCTCCGATCCTGCACGCTGCCATCGTCGATTGTCGTATCCCCTTTTTTAGAGCCGTCTGCGTGGTCACACATTGCTGGCATCTCCTCCTGAGTTGGACTTCTTCTTTAGAACTCGCGGTCTAGTGCCATCTTGTGAGTGTGGTTCTCGCTTCTGCAGCCGATGGCAAGCCCATCCCATTGCACTGTCGGCTGCATCTTGTGAGTGTGGTTCTCGCTTCCAGCGCTACCCTATGAGTCTTCCGCGAGTTTTTGATACTCCTCCTTTTTCTGTTGTCGTCTTGTGAGTGTGGTTCTCGCTTCAGATGCCATCATGCGGTCGCAACGAGCCTAGGCTCCCGCATCCGGCGCCCTCTTGTGAGTGTGGTTCTCGCTTCTGACTTCATCATGGGAGTGTTGTGCTCCATCTATTGCCAGCCTTGTGAGTCCTCGCCTCCTACTTTATGGTTATCCTATCGCTTCCAGCTCGCACAGTGATCGGGGTTTTTTTTACCGCTTCGGAGGCTGATGACATAGCCCGGATCTTCTTTTTTGAGTGGTACCCGCTCCACCTCGGGCTCGGGTGTGTGTGTGTGTGTGTGTGTGTGTGNTTTTTTTTTTTTTTTTTTTTTTTTTTTCTACTCCACCCCATTCGGACACTCACCGGTATCCGCCGTTAGGCATTGCTTCGGTGAGGCCGGGGTTTTGTTGAGCATTTCTGCTACTCCTGTTAGTCGTTGTTTTCCATACATCCCCCATCCGTCGCATAGTGATATGCGACGATTAGGGGTTCAGGGACTCATCTTTATCTTCTTGGTGAACCTCCGATCCTGCACGATGCCGTCGGCGATTGTCGTAACCCCTTTTTCAGAGCCGTCTGCGTGGTCACGCATTGCTGGCATCTCCTCCTGAGTTGGGCCTCTCTTCCTAGGACTCGCTGTCAAGTGCCATCTTGTGAGTGTGGTTCTCGCTTCTGCAGCCGATGGCAAGTCCGCCGCTTTGCTCTGTCGGCTACATCTTGTGAGTGTGGTTCTCGCTTTCCGGCGCTATCCTTGTGTGAGTTTTTGAACTCCTCCTTTTCTGTTGTCGTCTTGTGAGTGTGGTTCACGCTTCAGGCGCCATCTGTGCTCCAGCAGAGCCTTGGCTCTCACATCCGGCGCCCTCTTGTGTGTGTGGTTCTCGCTTCCGACTTCATCATGGGAGTGGTGTGCTCCATC